TTTTTTTCAGCTGTATGGAGGGATCGATAAAGTGGAGAGATGCTTATGAGCGAAAAATTTTTCGTTTTGTGAGAAATTGACTAAAATAAAATATCTTGTGCTGATCAGTTCATGTAGTAGTAGCTCGTGTCTTCGAAACTTAGAATTTAGCTTTGTGTTATACTTTGCATCGTTTGCTACAGGAACGCTTATTTTTTCATACATTGCTCCTTTTGACTAAAAGTAGTTGAACGAAATGTCTGTGTAACCATTAAGTCACCAACAAAGACTAAAAAAGGCGTGGTTGAAATTGACAGTACAGTACGCGCTCGTAAGTCTTTCAACAATTTCTTTACTGTGCTCAGCATGCACTTATCGATTTTACCATAATAATAAAACTCGAATGATGAAAGTCTGCGTATCAAAAACCCGATTAACACTTACTAGAAAAGATGACCAAATATCGGTAATTCTAATGTTGAACACGATGTAGCCGGTACAAAAGGCGTCGACGATTCTTATATCCAGTACCAGTTTCTGCCGCGGCGTTATAGTTGCCGAGCACAGGTATTCCGTTTCCATTGCCACCATTACTGCCTGTACCACCTGAGAGGAATCCGTTCCCATTACTACCCGGGGTCTTAGGAACAAATCCGGGACCGAGTCCGTTGAGTGAGATGTACTGCATTATTCCATAGCTGCCAATGGTTGTTCCAGCGGCTGATGCGCGTCCATTCAGGCGGGGTTTGCCAACTCCAGCTCCAACATCGGTGTTGTACGCTTGCTGGTCTCCACCCTGGGCACTGGGTGGGACTGGTGGACCAGGCTGAAGCACCTCAGCCATTTCATAGCCGGAATTCTGAGATGGAGCATAGCCAGCACATGCGGTATCGATAAGGAGGAACAGCAAAACGAAGCGCATCTAAAATTAGATTACACATTTTGAAATGCATTAGAAGCACAGGGAGCTCACGTGAGTGGCGATTATGTGCGCGAAGAAGGAAGAATGTAGATGAAAAGTTTGTTCGCCCCTTTATATATCTTCGATGTTTTATGGTTTTACTACTTCTCCAACCCAATAATTTTCTTCTGCTAGCTTTCGCGCGTCACACCCAGGCATGGACCACATCACAACCTGCAAGGTTATTCTCTCTTCTTTCCAACACCAGTAGGTTCCTTTATACCAAAAATTGATTTCAAAAGACATGACTTGTAGAGAAAAAATTAACATGTATTTATTTAACTCGAGGAACACTTATAATGTAGGCATTCAAATACCTCAATGGCATCTAGTGTCGCTGTTCTACTGCGAAAGCCATTATGATTAAGAAATTGACATAAAGAACTGCGCTTCCTGGAACTCCAACTCAAACCGGTCTTCAAACGTCCGAACCTCTTCTCGAGTTGTGAAACTTTCCTACCATTATTACTTTACAGCCGCATAAATCACACTTACTGCTCTCGAAATTAGCAATTGCGAACGTTTGGGTGGTAGGAAATAAAGCACAACCTTTATCGCTCATCTTACACCGAGGTATAGAATCGATGTGCATTTATTACAAAGCTTTTTGTGAAGAGTTAGCTGCTCAATAGAAGGAGGAAAATTCTCTTCATTATAGCCAAGGAGCTGGCTTTAGTGTGCCTATTTAAGGCTAATTACATTCGGTGTATATCAAGGATTATCTCATTGACTGAAACACATTGTTAATTGCAATGTTCAGAAGAGAAAGGTAGTCGCAATTTTTGACCACTATAGGAGATGAGTCATTTGTGCTGAGCAAAATGCAACTTTGTCAGTTCTTTATCTATCGAAATCGTCATTTGCTTGTAAAGTGAC